CCAGACTTCTTAGTCTAAGAAATGATAGGTCATAGAGACTATCTCAATTTCTGGCAATAGAAAACTTGTATACAGAACCTTGTAGCCGCTACCCTGATTTCAACAGTGTAAAGTGTGAATTGAGCGAGATTTTACACCAATTTGCATAATTCCAGAGTTTAAAAAAACCACCACTACCACTTAATGTGCTCTTCTTCATCATATTGTCACAGTTTGCTGGTTGCTAAGGGACGACCCGTAGTCTTGTGTCATTCACTGTGAAGGGTTGCTGTTACTTTGGTGATTGCTCGATTGCAGGTTGTTGCTATGGCACTGGTTGCTTGGGGTTTTGTGGTGTGGCATCTGTTGCCATGGCATTCTTTGCATCTTAGGAGGAGCTTCATTAGCATGGTAGGAGGAGCAACTCTGCCAGTGGTGGCAGCCCATTGTCTGACATGGTTTGGTAGTGGCTGATTGGTTGCCACGATACTGGTGGCTGTTGCATGATCTGGCAGTGCCCTTTGCTCCCAGCAGCTGTTGTTGTAGTTTAGCTACTTCAATACAGTGGAATGGTTTGTTGGTGGTTCTGGTGCCTCAGGAAAGTCTCTGGGCTCAGGCTTTGACTTGTGCTTGGGGCCTAGGAGTGAAGCAGTTTGGGGTCACTTCAGCCCTACATGAATTTCTGAGTTGCTTAACCTTTTCCTCTAATTATGGTTGGATCACTTCCTGCTCAGATTAAGCTCCACTTGGCCAAAGGCGTGAGGGCAAAAAACTGTGTTGTGGGCACCAGCAACACCCTTTCCCCCAATGCCCCACATATCTGCTCCCAGGCTTCTCACATTCAGGTCTGGAAAGAGATTAAAAGTGTATTCAGCTGGATGATGACCAGGAACTCTGCTTGTTGGGGATGTCACAAGGTGGGGCCAATGTTTCTGTTATGTACTGAAGTTCTCACCCTGGGCCAGCAGGGGGATACTGTAGATAGTTATGCAAATAAGGGATCGAAAGTGACGTTCAGTGATTGGATAGTTTTAGAAAGTTTTTACAGTAACGTTGTACTGGAACTCTATATAAGCAGGCTGACTGAACCCTTCAGTTCAGTTCTGTCCTGGCCTGTGAATAAACAAGAGCCGTTTGAAGAATCGCTGTGTCATCTGATATGTTCACCCACAACTTAACAGTTTCTTCCACCCATACACAGTCTGGGCCCTTATGAGTTTGACTCAAGTGCCTGAACAGGACTTTAGACTTACGGCTATCCTGTTGAAGAGGAACCTGTTAAGATGGCCTGCTTTCAGAGGCTGTTGGATTCCTGAGAGGCCTTGGGCAGTTTGGGGCTAGTATTTCTGTCAACGCTTTGCTCTGTGCAACATGGAGGTGACTCAGACAGGTGAAACAATCCCGCTAGAAAGAGTCCATTTGCTCCTTGGTTTGCTGCACTGGCTAGCATGGTGTTGGCAGTAGCGAATCCAACCAAACGCAGGTAACTGTTCATGATTGTCATTATTGACACAGAGTAGATTCAGTGAAGGAACAACACCTCCCCCTCACCATTGTTACCTCACAATGCCATCCACTGGAGGGTATGTGACCTTCTCCATCTGAGCCCATATCCAGCTGTTAAAGACTCCCCAGAGGCCAGCTGCGACTTATTTGCTAATCATTTCAAAGGCAGAATTGCTCATATCTGCACGGACTGGAATGCCTCCTTTACTGCCGTCTCTGTGATCATGTTCAGAACACCACTGAGTCACATTTTGTCGCTGAGGCCTGAGGCCACTGACAGGCTGCTCTGAGGGATGGGGGCAGCCTGCTGCCTGGATGCTCAATCCTTGCCCTTCCTGGCTCATTACATCTGCCTGGGGTAGTTTCATCTGCTGGGTCTAGGGGCTAAAAATGTCTCTTTCTGAGATAAGACTACCTTTTAAAGAAAATCAAGGTATAAGCATTGTCCTGCATTGCAGAGGACTAGATAACCCTTGGGGTTCCTTCCAACTTTACAGTTCTACGATTCTATGACCATTCTTGATAAAGGGCATCCAAATATTCCCTCCTCCGCCCCCCGACATTACAAACATTCCATTTTGGGGCAAGGTTCTTGAACTGAAACTCAATCCAGACAGGATGGAGCTACTATGCATGGCTTATCTGACCAAGAAAGTGTGGTTCAGCCTGTTCTGGCTGCGGTTAAGGATTAGATCTGTAGTCTTGGTATGCTATTCGGACGGATGTTATTTGGACAGAGAAGTTAGGCTGGCCTCAACTAGAGCCAGGGCTTTTTCGGCTGTGGCTCCGATCTGGTGGAACACTCTGTCACAAGAGACCAGGGCCCTGCGGGACTTGACATCTTTCCGCAGGGCCTGCAAGACAGAGCTGTTCCACCAGGCCTTTGGCCAGGGCACAGCCTGACTCCCTCCCTCGGCAATCTTCGCGGAGCTCTGGCCCAATGGTTGCCAGTGGCTTGAATTAATTAATTTTATAATGAATGATTTTTAGAATGTTGTTTATGCTGTACTTTTGTACTGTTTTATTGCTGTTAGCCGCCCTGAGCCCGGCTTCAGCTGGGGAGGGCGGGATATAAATAAAATTTATTATTATTATTATTTTGGTGGAGAACCCAGTGGCTTTCTCAGCTTCTAGATCCTTTTTACCACCTTGGGTGGTACACCAGATGTGGTTTCTCCTTGGCCGAGATTCCAAGCTGCAGTTTAGTATGCACTGATAACATCCCATTTTGATTATTGTATTTAGTGTGCTATATAAGGAGCCCCCTTAGAAGCTTCTTTTTAAAAAAAAAAAGATATTTATTACTTTTTGAACAATTACAACACAACACTACAAACAAGAAAAGAAAAGAAAAAGAAAAAGAGCAATACAAAAACACTACATAACACATTAAACTAACAAAACAAAACAAAAACAAACAAAAACAATTTAAAAACACCTCAAACATTTTCAATATCTTATCTTTCATTCGCTTATTTCCAACGACCTCCTCACACCTCCCTTTTTGTATTCCACTTCTATTAATTGTTTCAGCAATTCCTTTCCATCTTCCTCTGTTTTCTATCCTATAATTATCTTAACACATTATTGCCTTATTTTTTTCTTTAATTTTCTATTAATCTATTTATACTTAATTCCTTATAACATTTCTGCTAAAGCCATATAACTTCATTCCAACATTCTTCTAACATTCATTAATTTTACAATATTTCTATAAATAGTCTTTAAACTTTTTCCAGTCTTCTTCCACCGACTCTTCTCCCTGGTCTCGGATCTTGCCAGTCATTTCCGCCAATTCCATATAGTCCATCAACTTCATCTGCCATTATCCAACACTTCAGTGCTTTCAAGAAGCAGCCATTCTCTCAGCCAGCAAAAAGCAGATGGTTTAGGGGTCTGGCAGGGCAAGTCCACCTCCTTTCCCCCTTAGAAGCTTAAAAATACTGAAGATTGCTGCTGGGAATTTGGGGTTTTGATTGTCTCTCACCAGTTTTGAAATCAACTGTGGTGGCTTCCTGTCTGCTTCTAGGCACGATTCAAAGTTCTGGTTTTGACCTTCAAGTCTCTAAATGACTTGGGTGACTTTGAAAGCCTATTTTCAAGTGCTCCCTCCATCTAAGGAGAGGTGGGAGGGGAGCCAAGATGGAACTTTCTCTCTGTTTGCACCCTGTCGTTGAAATGTGTTCCCCAAGAGAGATTTGCCTTGCACTGACTTGGTTTATCTTCTCAGCACCAGGTGAATACCATTCCCTCCCCCAGGTCTTTTGGCTACTGCTGTGTCCTGATCTTAAAAGGTAAAGGGACCCCTGACCATTAGGTCCAGTCGTGGCCGACTCTGGGGTTGCGGCGCTCATCTCGCTTTATTGGCTGAGGGAGCCGGGGTACAGCTTCTGGGTCATGTGGCCACCATGACTAAGCCGCTTCTGGCGAACCAGAGCAGCGCACGGAAACACCGTTTACCTTCCCGCTGCAGCAGTACCTATTTATCTACTTGCACTTTGATGTGCTTTCGAACTGCTATATTGGCAGGAGGTCCTGATCTTATGTGGTTTTAATAACTGTATGTTATGCTCTGCTGTTTTAATATTTTACGTAGATATTTCTCTATTATTATTATTATTATTATTATTATTATTACTACTACTACTACTACTATTATTCATATTTTATTTTTATCCGACCTTTTCTCCAAGGAACTCAAGTTGGTATTGATGGTTCTCCCCCTCCGCATTTTATCCCGGGTTTAGGTTGAGAGGTGGTGACTAGCCCAAGGTCAGCCAGTGGGTTTCATGGCTGAGTGGGGATTTGGTCTCCCAGGCACTCTAACCACTATACCACATTAGCAGTATTTTGGTGAAGCAATACTTAGCAGGATTTTAAACAACTCTCCTCCCAACCCACCAGCTGATTGACAGGTGTGTGTGTGTGTGTGTGTGTGTATGGTTTGGGGGATATGACCCCAGAGCCCTAATTGGACCCCCTAATGAACCAATGCACTGGAGATTCCCCACCGCTCTCATAAATAAATAAATAAATAAATAAATAAATAAAATATTGCAGGTATTGCAAGACTAATAGCATTCCCTCACAGTTGTTAGCCATCTCTGCGCTTTAGACATTCACAGTAAAGACTGCATGATTATATATTAAAGTTCTAAAAAGATCACAAGTTCTACATTTTTTGTGCATGTGTATACAATTTTCTTAAAATCTTCTGTGAACACTTGAACACTTGAATGATATCCACACCGTGGAGAAGTCTTCTAGCAAAGCTCCGATGGGCATCCATGCTTTTGACTTTCTGGTGACTCTTGAATACTGTTTTTAGGCCAACAGGCTTTTGCAGCTGTTTGATTAGCCAGTCACTTGGATGATTTTTTGAATTGTTTTGAATGGCTCTTAATATTTTGTTGTTGCGAACCACCCTGGTATTTTAAGATAAGGTGGTACAAAAACACTTTTATGAATAAATATAAATATCTGTTTCCTCTCTGTGTCTCCCTCTCCTTTCTCAGGGTATTGATGATTCCAGCAAAGACAAGTGAGTATCTTGCCTCGCTCTTGGGACCCTAGCAGCGGGTAGGGAGGCTGTGCCAGTTAGAGCCCCTTGCCTGTGTTGGGACAGTCTGGGAGCTGGCGAGATGAATGTGGGGGGAGGGACTTCACCGGCAAGGCTTGCTTTACTGCCACTTGATGCCCCCACAACTAGTCATAAAACTGGGACATTGCCTCTTGCAGCCGAAGCACGCAGGAGGCCCTGAACCCTGAAGATGAAGTTGATGAGTTTCTGGGCAGGGCCATTGATGCTCGAAGCATTGACCAGCTGCGCAAGGACCATGTCAAGCGCTTCCTGCTCACTTTCCAGAAGCCAGAGCTGGAGAAGAAGGTACCTTCCCATTTGCTACTGGAGTCTTCAGCTTTCAGTCTGGACATGGAAATCCCACACCTCTTTGTTCCGGTTCAGGCAGAACCACCCCCACTCCCCACTGGTAACTTCCCTTTCTCTTCTCCTTCCACCCTGCAGTATTCCAAAAAGGTGGATACCCGCTTTGGCGGCTATGTGGCTTGCACCGTCCTTGTCTTCTGCTTCATTTGCTGCATCCAGATTGTCATCTTCCCGCAGTGAGTGACACATATGCAAGAGTACGTTCGTCATGTGCTCTTTCTGCAAACGTGGTACATATGCATTCATGCCCGTGTGTGCGTGCTCATGTGCACACGCATTGAAGGCACACGCTTCACAGGATCCCAGTATGTGCAGTGGGTCTGCATCCTACACTTCTCCACTGCTGCATATGGTAGCCATAGGCAAGGTAAGGTGGCATGTATAGATGCATAGTCCTAAGCACACCTAGTTCTCATAAAGGCTTATTATGCACTACTTGCCATCATGTGCCACCAACAGATGCACAGGACCCTCAAGCCGCTGATTCCCAATCAAGGCACACCCTGACACTGTGGAAGAAATTGGGCCGGGGGAACCTCAAAGTCATAGGAAGCTGCTTTCTACCAATTCCAACTATTGGCCCCTTCTTGGTCATTATTGTCAGCACCAGCTGGTGGAAGCTCTCCCAAGATTTCAGACGGGAGTCTTTCCGCTCTCTGCCTGGAGACACCAGGGATTGAGTCAGGGACATCCTGCATGCAAAGCAGGTGTCGTACCACTAAACCACAGTCCTTCTCTCAACTCCATCTCCTTGTCCACAAGTGTGGAGGAACGCTGCTTGAACCAATGGGTTTCAGTTTCCAGTTGGATAACCCACGATATCCAGTTGGATAACCCACGATATTTAGCCGACTCTGCCTGGATTCCAGTCAGTAAAATTATTTGTTGCTACAAATGTTTTAGGGGAAGAGGAGGGAAGAATTTCAGTTGCAGTTATTAGGGAGCATAGATGTGCTGTCTGTCTGTGAGTATATTTACACTTTGAACCACGACACCCAAGTTCCCCCTCTCGCCCGTGTCACACACCTGATGCAGAAGGGGTTGGCAAATGTCCACGTGGCAACATTGTGAGAAAAGGCGATATGCTAGACTGATTAAATGGCTAATTTGGGGATATCATTGAGCGAAGGAGGGGTAAATGGGGAAGTGGGGAGAGCACAGTCTGTGGTTGTGGAGGTTTTTGCTTTCAGGCTGATTCTTAAGCAAAAAAGAGGAGGAGAAGTGACTTACCAACACAGCCAAACTGCTCTTGGGAGTCAGGGGTCACCACAAGTGGAAAACCCACACAATACACTATTTAAAATTTTTTAAATTTAACATTCTGTCTTGCAACAATATGCACAATATTGTTAACTTACACAGTACTTCTGCCTTCCCTGCACCTGGGGCCTGGATCTTGTTGGGACCACAATTCTGTCATCCCTGACCATTGGCCACACTGACAGGGACTGGTGGGAGTCCACCAACATTTGATGAGTGGTGGAAAGCCACATGCGTTATGGTGTTCTCCTGACTGATGGGGCTGATTCTGCCTTGTCTCCCTGCAGCTCCCCTCTGATGCTTGGCGCCTACATCAGCATCTTTGTCATCCTGGCCACCATCCTTTTTGTCTGTGCCATCTATTCCTGCCTTGGCGTGAGTGATTTTCTCTTCATTGGGACCCCATGTCTCTGTGACTCCTGACTATCCTAAGGACTCCCTGACCTTCCCTCTGCCAGCCTTTGGACCCCACCTGGGAACACCCCTTATGCCTTTTGAGGGTGCAGTGTGTGGGTTCAGTCTGGTTCCATGTGCAGCTCCTGGGTTTTTGCCACAGCGTCACCCCCCTGCCCTTAAGCCCTTGATATGCTGGGCTGAGCAGAAGGGCCTGCTGTCCTGGTGTCAGGTTCCTGTCCATTAAGGGTGAGGAAAGGCAAAGCAAGTCAGCAGCCAGGAGGAGGAGGGTCCCTTAGTTGCTCAGGCCAATGAACAAGTTGGGTCTGGAAGGTTTTACATGGATCTGAGAGTATCTTCTGACCACCTCTGGCCTACTGTAGCTAAGAGGCTTTCTGGCTAATCTCCCTGCAGTTTCCTCCTCAGACCAGTCAGAACACAGGAAGCTAACTTCTGTACCAAGCCAGACTATTTGTTCTCCCAGTGCTGCCCTGGCTGGCAACTGCTCTCTAAGGTCTCTCAAACCTGCTCTGTTCAACAGGTCATGCCAGGTAGTAGGCCTGGGACCTTCTACATACCAGGCAGGAGCTCTGCCCCTAAGTGCGCAAGCTAAATCCCCACCTGTTATTGCCTGGGTTCAGAACCTGCTGTGGGTTTGAATGCTAACACCTGATTCTGGTGTAACCAGGCTGGTGTGGATGAGGGGGCAGTCAAGGCTTGTTCTAGCCTCTTGGGCATAACGGGGGGTGTGGTGGTGGCCCCCCCATCTCATACGACCTCTTGTGATTCCCTACAGCCTTTTCCAGCGGCCCTGCAGCGTGTCTCCCGCAAGATTATCCAGTCCCGAATGAACAGCACGATTACTGGTGTTGCTGCCATCCTGCTGGTCTTCATCTCTGCTTTTGTCAACATGGTATGAGGGTTGGGAGAGGTGGGCAGGTCTTGCGGTGAGGCCTTGACTGGTGTGGGGACAGTTGAGAACCAAGGCGATACACTTCTCTTGTCCTGCTGTTTCCCCGGATCAAGCAGATGTTTGGAACAGTACAAATTTCTATTTAGCAGTGGGCAAAAGTGGGAAGAAAGTATACATTATGAGCAGCATTCCCACTTCCAACCCTCTCCGAACCTTCAACTCTCCGAAGAACCCTTTGTCTGTCTCCGGCCCCAGAGCCCAGCCATTGGCTCTCCATTATCCTGGTTGCCATAAGTCTCTGGCATTGGGTGGGATCGGGCAAGTCCAAAGCAAACAAGAGCAGCATTGAGTTCCCTGTCAGCCCTACATAGTCGGCCATTTTTCCCCCCTCAACCCAGTTTGCTTGCAGCCGGCTCCGCCTCCAAGACTGCGCTGCCGGGTTTCTCAACATTACTCCAGCCGCCGTGGGGCCCTGCCACCTACATGCCCTCAACTACTCGTTGGCATCAGACACGCTGCCCTGCCAGGGAAATGGCGCTTCTAGCTGCAGCTTCCCTGAGGTAGGTGTATTTCAGAAAGATCGGGGGGGGCGGTTTCCATGAGGTGTGAAGAGTTGTGGGTGGGACTTGAGGGTTCAGTGACTGGGCCTGGGGTCAGCATTTACCTGTAAGTCCAAGGATGGTCTCTCCTCCCTTCCTTTACATCCTTGCTCCCACAGAGTGCCTTGATATCTTGTGGGTTTGTGGCCCTGACTGGGCCTTGAAGGTTGCTCAGGTGTGAAATCTGAGGCAGGTGGCATATCTGTGAAGACAGGAGGAGAATGTAACACAAAAGGATCCTGCTGGATCAGACCAAAGGTCAACTGAGTATCCTGTTTCACACAACCCAGGTGCCTGTGGGAACTCCACAAGCAAGGCACGAGGGCGATGATCTACCCCGGTTGCTTCTCAGTGGATAGTGCCTGTTGGTAGAACCATCCTCCTTGAACTTATCTAATCTCTCCTTTAAAAAAATATTGTGGCAGCAAACACTGTCCAGATTAAGAGGGGGGAGAAGGAGAGGTCACGCTTGTCTCAAGGGAATGAGTGTGGGCTTTGGGGAGCACATCTAGCTGTTGTAAGGGGCGTTCTGACATCTCTATCCTTTCCTCCCTGCAGTACTTCACTTACTCGGTGTTGCTGAGTCTACTGGCTTCCTCTGTTTTCCTGCACATCAATAGCCTTGGGAAGCTGGCGTTGCTGATAGGGATGGAGGTGGTGTACCTGGCCGTGGCCGAGGGCCCCCAGGGGGTGTTGTTCAACAACTACGACCTGCTGGTGGCTGCTAATGCCCTGTAAGAATCCCCCCCCTCCCCTCTGGGACTGGAAAAATCTCAAACCTTCAACCCTGGGCCCTGAAGTTGTCTGGGTGATTTAAAGTGGGGAGGGTCTTCCAGCTTTCACCCTGAGCTTGTTTTCTTCCATGTTGCCCTCAAATATAAGTTTTCCAAACAGCCATGAGTAACCGAGAGAAAATGGGCCCAGCTACAAACCACCACAATAGCAAATAACATCAGAAACAAATATAATATAGCACCGTGGTGGTGGTTTTGTGGCCCTTCAGATATCAGCTGAATCGTGGATTCCCAAAGGTTCTCATTCATGCATTATCTCATGAGAGGGGCTTCTTATTCCTTTGGCACTTTTCCCACTTAAAAACAAAAACCCAGCCAGCTCACAACATAGAAAATCCATAATTGGCACTAGAAGATAAAACAATATGCCCTACAATAATTGACAGACTTACTCCATTTTAACATATGTCATCTACAATTACAACCCTTAGATGTTATATAATAAGTTCATTTTGCCGCTACTGCATAATCCCGTATCTTATTATGCAGTTCTTTAATCGTCGGGAGCTGTAACCATTCTCCTTTTAGCTGCATGTAAGATCGTAGCAGCTGCTAGCAAGTAATAAATCATATCCTTATGTTCTTCCTTCACTGACCCTTCTGAATAATCCAGCAAGAATATGACCGGATGCAGTGGGACTTTGTATCCAAAAATTCTTTCGGAATGAACTTGAACCCATTCTTCCTGAATATTTCTTGACTTGTTCATATTTATACCATGTGTGGAAAATTAAGCCAGCAAGCCATCACTGGGCAAACTGCTTCTGTATTTTCTGTGCCCACCTTGAGTGCCCAAATCTTTTTCCCCACCCAGGGAGAGGAGAGAGCAGCTTCCTCAGGAAGGGGGAGTTTTAAAGCAGAAAAATCTATTTCTGAGTGAAAGGAGTAAGAACATCCCTTCCTCTGAGAAAATAATTTGCTTCAAATTATATACGGAAGCAGCTCTATTAGCTAAGAAGTGAAAGAAAGGAAACAACTGTAGCTTAATGTTGCATATTTTTATTAACCAAAATTTATATACCTCTGGATTGTAATAAAACTTTGAAGTGGTTTACAAAAAATAAACCAGGCATAGGCAAACATGATTTGTAGACAACTAAATTTGGGGAGCAGAGAAAAAGGAAACTGCGCTGAGCTTGGGGTGTTCTATAAAGCTGCAGAAACCTCTAATTGTGATCCATTCTATCTGGACATGGGTGTTAAACTAAGGAGGAAGTGACTCAGTCTCTTCCCATTGCAAGATACCTGGGGCAGAATTCAGGTGTATCATCTACTACCAGAATCTTCATTGTCTCCCAGCCCATTTCCCCACTTCTAACTCGCCCTCAATCTCATTTGCCTTGCATTGTGGGAGGTGGCTCTGGGTGTTGGTCTTGGGTGACTTGGGCCTCTCTCTATAACAATTCTTCTCTCCCCCTTCTCACAACAGGCCAGCCTTCAATGAGACCCACAGCAGTCAAGATTGGTGAGTTGGAACCAGAAAGGGAGCCAATTTTGGTGTGGTTGTGGGGAATGGAGGGTTGTGGTTATAAAGGCTACCTGGAGGTTTGGTGAAGGTGTTACCAAAGCTTTGGAAAAGTTAAGTGTACAGCAAGGGGGTACAGGTGACATCTCCAGATGTTGTTGGACTACAACTCCCACCTTTCCTGACAATAAGCCATACTGATGGGAGTTGCAGTCCAACAATATCAGAAGGGTACTAGTTTGGGTACTAGTGCCTGGCGTGCTCTGGTCCATGGGGTCACGAAGAGTCGGACACGACTAAACGACTAAACAACAACAACTAGTTTGGGGGGAGCTGTCCCAAGGCTGTTTTTTAGGGTTTGGGAGACTGGTAGATTCTGGGTTTTAGAAGTCTTTTGGATTTGCAAGCATCAGATTGTGCTGTTTCGTTTATATATTGTGATGCTATATCAGTAACAATGTGACAGAAGCACTATATAGGTACCTGCCCTGAGGAGCTTACTGTCCAAGTTTAGACAGTAGGAGAGGGGAGAGAACCTAGCAATGGTGAAGCAATGATAGCAAGGGACAAATATACCGAGAGCCAGTGTGGTGTAGTGGTTAAGAGTGGTAGACTCATAATCTGGTGAACTGGGTTCGCTTCCCCGCTCCTCCACATGCAGCTGCTGGGTGACCTTGGGCTAGTCACACTTCTCTGAAGTCTCTCAGCCCCACTCACCTCACAGAGTGTTTGTTGTGGGGGAGGAAGGGAAAGGAGATTGTTAGCCGCTTTGAGACTCCTTAAAGGGAGTGAAAGGCGGGATATCAAATCCAAACTCTTCTTCTTCTTCTTCTTCTTCGATAAGCAAATGCAGTTACAGTGGTACCTCTGGTTATGTACTTAATTCGTTCCGGAGGTTCGTTCTTAACCTGAAACTGTTCTTAACCTGAAGCACCACTTTAGCTAATGGGGCCTCCCGCTGCCACTGTGCTGCTGCCGTGCAGTTTCTGTTCTCATCCTGAAGCAAAGTTCTTAACCCGAGGTACTATTTCTGGGTTAGGGGAGTCTGTAACCTGAAGCGTATGTAACCCAAGGTACCACTGTATATGTGGTTAGGCTTAAGTGGTATATATACACATAAATCGTTGAGATGAAATGAAATTTAAGCAAATTATATATGGAATTTGTGTACCACTTAATATAACAATCTCTGAGTGATTTGAATGAACATGCATTATTCAATGAATGGTTTTACTTGGAGTAGACCTGTTGAAATTAATGGACCCAAGGTAGTCAAGTCTGCTCTAAGTAGGAATAACTTGGCTACAACCCAAAGCTTCCTAAGGAAAGCTAAATAAAAACAACATGTAACTGCGTACCACAAATAAAAAAAATAAAAAACTGGAATCACAAATAACAGCTTTTATTTCAGCTTGGGATGGCAGCTACAGAGAAATGCCAAATGCTTTGTGGAAGTGATGGACTTTATGGAGTAACAACGGTGGTTGAATTTTTCCCCATTTCGATTTATATTCCACCTTCTGCATGTAGCACCCAAGCCAGATAACAACCATGTAATGACAGTGCATTCGGGTAGTCACTTTGATGTCATGGCAGGAAGGTACTCCAAGCATAAGGGACAGAGGGGGAGAGTGGGCTGAGGTTGTTTTTTAAAGAGCAGGGGGCATCCCTAGGCTGGAGGAGCAGGCAGAGCACAGGGGTTGTGTCAAGGCTGTATTGGGCACAGGAGCGCAGAAAGATAACAGCTTGCCTTTACTCTCTTTTCTCCTAGTTCTGCCGAGGGGAAAGTGGCCTTACAGTACATGACACCTGTCATCTTGCTGCTCTTTGCTTTGGCACTCTACCTGCATGCCCAGCAGGTGGAGTCTACGGCCCGGCTGGACTTTCTCTGGAAACAACAGGTAGTGGAGGGTGTGAGGTTTCTGCCAAGGCTGGGATGACTCTGGAGATCTCATGGTGCCAGGGAATTCCAAAGGATGCTGTTAGTTCTTGCTGTTTACTCAGCTCTTTGGCATGCCTTCTTTAATTGGCTCTGAACTACTTAGTTTGGTACTTTTATAAATTCAAAGTTATTTTAAGGGACATTTGCTTTATTTGATTGACTGGGATGCTCCCTCTGAGGGTGTGAGAGTCAAGCCTATGGGTGGCTGTGTCCAGAGACCCTTCTACCCCAGAGTGAGAGGAAAAGCTTGATCTCCCCAGGGGAGATAGAGGGAGAAGGTGTTTGTATAGCCCCAAAGGTGAGAGATGGAGATGAAATGATTGGGGGAGGGTTGGCTTTCACCTGTTGGATTCATACGTGATTATGGGTTTTTGAGGGTTTCACTGGAGTGAGAATTGAGAGGATGGAGTGATGTGATGGGTGGAAGGAGAGTGTAATGACAGCATGGTTCTTGAATTCCTGAATTGTATTATTTCGTGTGAGGATCCTTTTAGGTAATATTAATGTGATTATATAAAAATGCACGTGCACGTGCGCACACACACACACACACACACACATATTATGTTGCATTTTGTTGTGTACTTTGTTGCATTTTTGTGTTGAATGATGATGTAAATGTCTCTGAGATTCATCGAAACATAAAGCATATACAAGTTTAATAAATAAATGGTAGGAAGGAGAGTGACTGGTACGGCGTCTCTTGACTAGGGGTGTAAGCTTCTGTGTTTTAAGATTATGGCTACTGACAGGGCAACAAGTGATGAAACCTGAAGCTGAAGAGTGGATTGAGCAAGATCTTTTGTTAGTAGTGGTGAGTTTTAGTCCCAAACATTGCTCTTTCCCCCTCTCTGTGACTAGCAGGAAAGAATAAATTATGCAGAGATGTGCAGTCCTGCTGGATGTACAGAACTTCTACAGGTTGCAGAATTTGTGTCTGGTGTGTGTGGTGCAGGCTGGGCAAAACTGTGGCCCTCCAGATGTTGGGACTCCCAACTCCTGTCATCCCTGACCACCGGCCTTGTTTGCTGAGGCTGCTGGGAGTTGGAACCCCAAGAACATCTGGAGGGCCGGTACCTTCAACCGCGGAAGTTCAAAAGGCTTAATGAAATCGCACGTCTTGGATAACTGGTCTCCTCCTCCTTTCCTCCCTTTGCGACTCTCCCAGGCTACAGGTGAGAAAGAGGAGATGGAGGAGCTTCAGGCCTACAACCGTCGGCTGTTGCACAACATCTTGCCCAAAGATGTGGCCGCTCACTTCCTGGCCCGCGAGCGCCTCAACGACGAGTTGTACCACCAGTCGTGTGAATGTGTCGCCGTCATGTTTGCCTCGATCAGTAACTTCTCAGAGTTCTACGTGGAGCTGGAAGCCAACAATGAAGGCGTTGAATGTCTGCGGCTGCTTAATGAGATAATTGCCGACTTCGATGAGGTAACTGTGTGTCTTTTGTCTGCATTGGGTTGGAAAAAGGGAGGTACCGAAGATTGGCAGAGGTTGAAAGATGAGTAGGGTCCCCCTTCCCCCCCAAAAAAGATGCTGAAGGAGGACATGTTTATTGTTTTTGACTTCAGTTTTGAAAGTGCCACATGAATGAATATTTGATATTTGTTAGTCTTCCTTACTGTTTTGTGGTTTAGTATTGTTTTTATTGTGAATTACACAGGGGGCATCACCATAATCTTGTCTGTGCATAGGGTCTCTAGGGGTCTTAATCCGCATCTGGGTCTGTGCCCACTAGGGGGCCCTGTGCCAGGGTGAGGTTGGTGCTCTCTGCGTGGCATTCTTCTGAGAAAGGCTCTCACCTAGTGCCAGGCATTTGCACGAGTACAGAGCAGAAATAGGAGAGACTTTTGAGAACCAAGGCAAAATCTCTGCCGTTCAGGAGAAGTGCAGCAGTGGCCATGGAAGGTTTTAAAACAGTAGAAATATATTTAAAAATTGTAAAAAATTGTCCAGTAACACCTTAGAGACCAACTAAGTTTGTTCTTGGTATGAGCTTTCATGTGCATGCACACTTCTTCAGATACACTGAACATAGCTGTCAACTTTTCCCTTTTCTTGCGAGGAATCCTATTCGGAATAAGGGAATTTCCCTTAAAAAAAGGGAAACGTTGACAGCTGTGACACTGAAAGAGAAGTCACCAGACCTTTATATACAGTGAGAGGGTGGGGAGGGGTATTACTCAGAAGGGTGATGGGAATGGGTGATTGGCTGATAGGTGTGGTAAACCTGTTGACGACTGCTAACGACTGCAATTGGTCTTACAGGAAAAAGCAAGGGATGAGATGGCCAAAAATAGCTTTATCATGTATAATGAGATAAGAATCCAATGTCTCTATTCAGACCAGGTCTCTCCATGGTTTTAAGTTTGGTAATAAGTTGTAATTCAGCAACTTCTCTTTCCAGTCTATTTCTTAAATTCTTTTGTAATATGACAGCTACTTTGAGATCTTGTATAGAATGTCCTGGGAGATTGAAGTGTTCTCCTACTGGTTTCTCTGTCTTGTGATTCCTGATGTCAGATTTATGTCCATTTATCCTTTGGCGTAGGGTTTGGCCTGTTTGTCCAATATAGAGAGCTGAAGGGCACTGCTGGCATTTGATAGCATACACAATGTTAGAAGATGAGCAATTAAATAGTCCTGAGATGGTATGTTTGATGTTGTTGGGTCCAGTGATGGTGTTGTCTGGGTGTGTGTGGCAGCAAAGTTGGCATCTGGGTTTGTTGCAGGCTCTGGTACCAGTGTCCATGTTAAGTCTGCTTGCTGTATTATTGTGGGTGAGGAGTTGTTTAAGATTGGGTGGCCGTCTGTAGGCAATGACAGGTCTTCCTCCCAGAGCTTGGGAAAGAGAACTGTCATTGTCTAGGAGAGGTTGTAACTCTCTGATGATGCGTTGAACTGTTTTAACTTGGGAGCTGTCTGTGTTTTAAAACAGATGTGTGATTTTGATGAAAGGAGACTCTCTCAGCATTTGTAGAAATTACCTTCCATTGCTTCTTTCTGTAGATTATCAGTGATGAGCCATTCAGGCAGCTGGAGAAGATAAAGACGATTGGCAGTACCTACATGGCGGCTTCAGGGCTGAATGACAGCACGTATGACCGCGAGGGGCGCTCCCATATTACAGCGCTGGCAGACTATGCGATGCGGCTCATGGAGCAGATGAAATATATCAATGAACACTCATTCAATAACTTCCAAATGAAAATTGGTCAGTGGAGCCTGGGAAGGGTGGGTGGGTGTTCCACATAGGGGGGGAGAGATTGGGTGTCCTTAAGGCAAGTGGGTTGGCTGCTCAGTTTTGACTGATTTTCCTTTTTGCATCCTTTCTTCCCTTCCCATTTCTTCCACAGGGCTAAATATTGGGCCAGTAGTGGCTGGGGTGATTGGCGCCCGAAAGCCGCAGTATGACATTTGGGGCAACACGGTGAATGTCTCTAGCCGTATGGACAGCACTGGTGTCCCTGACCGTATTCAGGTGAGAGTGTCGATGGCGTGACCTGTTTTGACTATGGTTAAGGTTGTTGTCAGGCCCGTGCAGAGGTCGAGGGTGCAGCCTGGTACGCTTGCCCCCAGCCTTGGAGTGATAAGCCGGCCAGGGACCCCACCAGGGGGGCTGCCTGACTTATACTGTCATGCGAAGAACAAGACCTCATGGTTGCCAGGATTTAACCTTGGAAGTCTACTTCCTTAGGAGAGGTTCAATAGGTCTGTAATAATATACCGCATTTTGCGCCCCATAGGACGCTCCGGCCCATAGGACGCACTTAGTTTTTTGGGGGGGAAATAAAGAAAAAAAAATTTATTTCCCCCCCAGGTGCGGGGCTGGAAGAACCAGGTCGGGGAACAGCGGGAAGGCACGCTCTGCCTCCCCGCTGTCCCCCGAGCTTGTGGGGCTGGCGATGGGGAGAAGTGCGCTGATCCCGGGACTGCAGGCAGCTCTGCGCGGCCATCCGGAGTGGGGCGGGACTTTGCGCCCCACTCCCGATGGCCGCGCAGAGCTGCGCTGATACTGGGACTGCAGGCAGCTCTGCGCGGCCATTGGGAGCGGGGCGGGGCTTCGTGCCCGGCTCCCGGTGGCCGCGCAGAGCTGCGCTGAGCCGGGGACTGCAGGCAGCTCTGCGCGGCCATTGGGAGTGGGGCAGGGCTTCGCGCCCGGCTCCCGGTGGCCGCGCAGAGCTGCGCTGATCCCGGGACTGCAGGCAGCTCTGCGCGGCCATCGGGAGCGGGGCGGGACTTCGTGCCCCGCTCCCGATGGCCGCGCAGAGCTGCGCTGATCCCGGGACTGCAGGCAGCTCTGCGCGGCCATCAGGAGCGGGGCGGGGCTTCGCGCCGGTGGCCGCGCAGAGCTGCGCTGATCCTGGGACTGCAGGCAGCTCTGCGCGGCCATCGGGAGCAGGGCGGGACTTCGCGCCCGGCTCCCAGTGGCCACGCAGAGCTGCGCTTATCCCGGGACTGCAGGCAGCTCTGCGCGGCCATCGGAGCCGGTCTCCCGAGGGTTGCGCAGAGCTTCCTGAAGCCTGGAGAGCGAGAGGGGTCGGTGCGCACCGACCCCTCTCGCTCTCCAGGCTTCAGCGAAAGCCTGCATTCGCCCCATAGGACGCACACACATTTCCCCTTCATTTTTGGAGGGGAAAAAGTGTGTCCTATAGGGCAAACAATATGGTAATCTATGCTGAGCGCCTTAGTCACAGGAGTTCTAACAAAAAAAGGATATATCCCATGCAAAGTTAAAACAGTTAAAAATCAACAAAACAGCAAACCTTACAAAACAAGCAGCAACATTGAACAGCAAGATTCACTCCACACTAGCACCCATCGTTTCTGTATCTAAAAGCCCCACTAAAAAGAGATGATGTTTTGGTAGCAATTTAAGGGAAAAAAGGAGTTATTTTTCGTCAGGCATGGCAGCCCTGCTGTTGATAGCTAGCATTTTCTCAAGGTAGGGGCAGCTGTGACACAGCCCACAAGGAGATGGTGGGATATTTTTAAGACCCAGCAGCTGGAGCACCTGGATTGGAGTGAGGATTGTTGCTGACTCATTCCTGTGCCACCATCACCATTTATTTTATATTTTTTTTTGCCAATTGTTGGGAGTCATTTCTGGTGGAGGAAAAGCTTTCCACCCACCGCTTTAAAATTGTTACTTGCTGCCAGTTTTTCCTGGCAAATGTTTTTGGGGGGGCACTATTGGGGCTGGTGGGGAAAGCTAGAAATCCTGTCCGGAGGAGACTTCAGTGAGAAGAGGAGCAATTCAGGCTTTGTTGTGAGCTGCCTCAGAGACCATGGGAGTGGGAGGGATATCCACATTTCTATTAAATAATATTACGGGAGCATTGTGTCAGTAAGGCTCCCTCTGCTGACCACTTCTGAATAGTTCTGGTTACTATATGAGAGTAAGAACTCATTTTCCAGACCAAACCAAAAGTCCCACCTAGGCCAGCATTCCCTTTGCAGCATGGTCTACGAGACGCTTCCAGAGATTCCATGTGCAGCACCTAAAAGCAGCAGCACCCCCTTGTGGCCTCTGTGTGTATATTGCCTCAGGATGTTCCACTTGTTGCCACTAATAGTCACGGGTAGATCCATCCTCCATGAAGCTACCTAATCTATTTTTACAGCCATCCAAGTGGGTGGCCATCACAGAATCTTGAGATAATGAATTCATGGGGTTGTATTCACCAAGGGAAATAGTCTGAAGACAGGATGAGTTAGTATCAATTGGCGGAGCCCTCGCTTGTAGACCTAGTGGCTATACCAAAAGCAAGGCCACCTTCCTTTCTTATACGATACGATACGATATCTTTATTGTCATTGTCCCTTGCGGAACAATGAAATTGGAAAACTACATAAAACTACATAAAAACTACATAAAACTACCACAAAACTACATAAAACTACTACAAATCTAGATAAAACTACTACAAAACTACATAAAACATTCAAAACCCCTAAAAACTCTAAAACCCCATTTTTAAATACACTATACTACAGAGACCCCTTATGCTGCGTTTAGAACCAGAATTGCCTTAGCGTAGAAACTGTTTCTCAGGCGGCTAGTCCTGGCCTTTATAACCCTATACCTTCTTCCAGAAGGCAGAAGCTGAAAGAGATCATTTCCGGGGTGCGTACTATCATGTGCTATCTCTGCCGCCTTCTTATGGCACCTGGCAGCATAGATTTGATCTAAGGTGGGAAGAGTGCACCCAATAATTCTCTCTGCAGTCTTTACAACCCTGGATAGCATTGTTTTTTCCCTGGCCGTGCAGCTCCCAAACCACACGCACAGACCATAAGTTAGTACGCTCTCCACAGTGCAATGGTAGAATGCCATCAACAGGTCCTTTGAGAGATTGTTTTTCCAGAGGATTCTCAGAAATGGTCCTTCCCCGGGGACACAGAAAGCCTACTAAAGCCCTGAACCTCAATACTTTGGGACTAGGTCTCTTGTAAGCCAAATAACTGAAATGGAGACAAATGCTCAAAAAAAACCCCAAATCCCATGACTTAGGGTTTCCATATTTCAAAAAGTGAACATCCGGACACAAAAGTTGTTGAGCTTTTCCTGGCAAAGTTGTTGAGCTTTTCAGGCCATTTTTCGATGGCCAAATCCCAGCAACGTCCAGGGAATTCTTGATGTATGGCAACCCTACATGACTTATTAGCCCAACCTGAGATATTCCATGACAGGTATTTCAGAGGGGCTGCTATGGTTTTTCTGGGTGATTTAAACCCTGGATGATGTGGCAAAAGATTTGTTTCTATAGTATCTCTATGTCAGTTCCAATATATTTGCTGGATCATTGCATTACTTAAATGTGCACTAATTATGCCAGGCTCGGGCAGGGTGGGGGCTGCATTGGCTTCCTTGCTCTCCTCAGTCACAAACTGCTTGCTGTCAAAAACAGCAGGATTCACATCACCTGTGTGGCTTTATTCAGCAGTCCGGCTTTCCCCCTCTCACCAAGGCAGGGAAAGAAGGCAATTTTTGCTGATCGCAACTTCCCTCTGCAGCCTCCTTTTGCCATCCAAATTTTGCTCCAGAGGATTTGGGGACCCTTTGGAACAGTGCTGGGGGACGGGGAGATATGACTGCAGGATAAAGGGGAGAATTTGTGGAAATTGCCTCCCACTCCCATGTACAGAATCCTCTTCTGGAGCAACAGGCTTTCTGTGAGCAGAGGGACAAAATTGGAAACTCGTAATTACACCTGTGTGTTCCTTTTCCTCCTAACACTTGTTGTTCCCCTTCTCTAGGTGACAACTGACCTATATCAGGTATTGGCAGCCAAAGGTTATCAGCTGGAGTGTCGTGGGGTCATCAAGGTCAAGGGCAAAGGCGAGATGACCACCTATTTCCTGAATGGAGGCCCCACCAGTTAGCAAGAAAAGAGCCTTTGCTTAACAAAGGGACCTATTAAGCTGGGCTCAGTCAGGCACCATGGGGTTGATTGGTTCTCTGTCTTTCTCTCTTTGCTCTGGATTTTGGAACACACCCTCCTAAAAAGGGAAGAACCCCTACAGCTTCTGAAATGGGATCCTTGATCGTCTTGGAAACAGAAGAGATGTCGGGGGGTCGCTTTACCCCATACAAGACTTATTTTTTATTTATTTGGAGCAAAGCCTAACTTGGAGTGCCTCCTTTTGGGCCCGTGTGGGTGCTATTTTGGGGTAAAGTTTGTTGTGAACCTTCTGCCGCTCTTGGGATCGACCAAAGGACTTGGTGAAGGGAGGCTGCAGCAGGGGTTAGAAGACCCCACCCTTGTCTATCTGTGGATCCAGAAAGCTGACATTTTGATTTTATTGTTGAAGGGAGGCTATACCCTTTTCTTTCTGCCCCGCCTCCACCCTGAAGCATTGCTCGGATGTTTTTTGAGCGGGGCTCCATTTTCCTCATGGCGCCATTTTGCTGAGACTTTCCAGAAGCGCAGCGACGGCACTTTTCTCTTGGGGGAGGTGACTTTCCCTCAGTGCGTTTTGTCGGTCACATCTCTCAGCAAACACCCACTATCTTTTTGTTCGTGTGTGTGTGTGTGTGTGTGTGTGTGTGTGTGTGTGTCTTTCTCTCACACACATAACACGCTCTCACAAACTCACTGTGATGTTTGGGAATCTCTCTCTCTCTCTCTCTCTCTCTCTGAGGGATTGTCATTTGGGGTACAGTTCTCATTTGCCAAATTGCTATGTCTGGTTGGAATGAAGGGGAGCGATGACAAGCACTTGAGGTGCTTTGAGAGGGGGGAAATGGGACAGTGGCTGGGGGTTGTGGTTTTGATGCCAAAGAGACGGGAAGGAAACAGGCCTTCTTTCCCCTGCCTCCGCTGCCACTCCATCTCCTGTAATAGCCAGGGAAAGAGGCTTTGCTGCCCTGTGGAGATGCAAACCTGCCTTAGGTGCCTGAAGTAAAGGGGACAGATTGTTTTGTCTGCAGCCCTCCCCTTCCACCTTTCTGCAGAAGGGAACTTCTTCCCTACTCACTTGGGACCCCAAAATAAAAAAGTAGAAATTACTTAACAGGAGCTGGAATTGGCAGACAGAGCAAGCTCCTTCCTTCTAGCCCACTCTCATGGATCTTTTGCTGTTAAGTGCCATGTCTCTTCTCCACTCACCGCGCCCCCTCTTTTATCCATCTTTTAGGTTTGGTCTAGTTGGTTCTACTGACCTTGTTTCCTGGGGGTTGTGAGGGTATTTTCCCGTCTTTCTCATACATATTATATATGTAGCGCCAGAAAAATAATAACGTACCCGTCCCCCTTCTGCTCTTTATCCCATATGTTGGAAGTCTTGAGGGTAGGTGGGTGTGCTTATCCTAAGCAAAGTGGACTTCCACAAATTTGGGGGTCTGGCTGCCCTAGTGAATGTTTGCTCTGACCCTCCTGACTGGCAGGAAACACAATAGATGACAAAATCCGCAAAGTGAGAGCTCTGTGTTAATTGCCGGATTTAAGTTGGTGAGAACATGGCACTGAGGTGGAAGAGGAGAAGACCCTTGACTCCTTTTATTTTTATTAGCCTAGGTGGGTGGGAATGGGGATCTATTTGCACCAAAGTACTAACTGGTCATAGGAACTTCAGAAACCATGTGTAAAAAAAGATTTGAAAGAGAGCTCACTTTTTTTCCCCCCAGAGCTCCCCACACCTATATTACCTGCCAATGATTCCAAGGAGAAATTATTTCCAAACCTATTATAGTACACAAAATCTAGGTTAGCATGATGCAAAACTGGCATAAAAGGATTACTGCAAGAGATTGAGACTGCAGGCAGTGTGGGCAAGACGTGACACTGGGCATCTTGCACGGCCAGGTCCACATCAACATAGCTGCTCTCATCTCTGTTGCCCGCCTCGGCGGCCGCCGCCGGCCAGCCCCACCATGCCCTGCTGCTCAGCAAGCCCATGGCTGCTCACCTGCCTCCTCCTCATGGGGCCCATGCCAAGGCCGCGGCCGCCGGCGACTCAGCGACCAGCGGCGGCAACGGCCGCCGCCATTGTAGCCACGGCCAAGAGAGCTCACTGTTGAGTGGTGAAAGTGTGCTGAAAAGAAGTGTGTGTCTGTTTGGTGTAGAAGGGCAGGTCCATCTGGTCAGTAGCTGGCACGGCTGGCCAATGGCACAGTTATTGAGCACTTGCTATTTCCCAGATCGATGGGTTGTGGCTGCCATTTTGAAATGCTCCATCTACTTCTCTAGCCCCTGTAGGGGCACCTTGGATAGTGCAGGCATGCAGCCTGCTTACATTCTGCCTGTTTCCTCTATAATTTTCCCATTTTATGCAGTGGGTGCAATTCCACCTTTGGAGGAACCACCTTTGGCCTATTTTCACTTGACCCTGTTCCAAGGAGTCTTTTATCTGCAGCTGTGGACTGAATTGGTTGCAAGCATGTGTATGGGTATGTCCCACCCACTACCATAGTTTGGGTCTTGTCCCTCTCATATCTGATGTTGGCAAGTTACAGCCCCCCTTTCCACCTTTTGTTACATAGGATTCCAGTACTGAACCAGATTCCTTGGAAACAAGGTTTATTTTGCTCAACTCTTTGTCACAAGTGACACCTAAATTGGGGGACATCTAAGCCATGGGGAAGCAAGGTAGCTTTGTGAAATCTCTATTCCATTGAAGAGGATGGATAAAGCGGAAAACAACTATTTTTAATTGAAAAAAATGAGTCTTTTAAAGAAGGAGGGAAAGAAGTTGAAGATTATTCTTTTTTAGTTTATGGTTTAAAAAGCTCTAATATTCCTTAATTTTTTAAAAAAGAAAAGATTATTTTTAATGGACAACTGTCATTGTGCATAGCCTATGAGTTATTTATGCTCACCATGGGGAAGACCATGTAGGAGGAGAGAGTGAGCTTTAAAAAAAGACAAAAGTAACCCAGATCTCCCCACTCCCTCTAGGGCTACTGCGAAAATGGCTCAGTTGTGTTCCTTGGGCGAGGTGTATGAGCAGAGTGGGCAATATGGCACTTATTTGGTACTTTTTTTCTTTTTGTGTGTGTATATATAAATTATATATTAAAGATCACTTTCTATTACATTGTTTCCTTCTTTCTCTTCTCCCTTCCCAGTGCCATAAACTTGAATATACCTACCTCTCTTCTTCCCTGGGCAACTTCCTCCCACCCCCCGTTGCTCAGTGCACAAATAGATGGAATATAGGGAGATGGAAACTTGTGAGAACTGTGAATGTTAGGGCTATCATACAGTTAGGAAATTCTATTCTGCAATCCTCAACACAATTACCTGGGTGTAAGCCCCATTGAACCCAGTGGGACTTGACCACTTAGCACACTTGCATGAGATTTCACTATTGTACAATCGAATCACATGGGTTTTTAATTGATTTAAATCTGCATGCCATCTGTGTATGAATAAAGATGCTTTTGAAGAAAACACCTCACTAATTTTTAGATGATGCACCTCTCAAGACAGTACCTGTTAACAAATCTGATATAGATAGATATCAGCACCTGATTCATTCAGGCTAAAGACATTTGTTAAGTCAATTTGACTGTAATCATTTAGCCCAAGCAATTTGTGTGCACTTACACGCCTATGCATTGGTATTTTGCAGGGTTTATCATTAATATACTAAAGCTTGTACATCCCTGATTAAACCTCCTTACATTATTTCAGGCATTAAGGAACAACTATCACTGTGAAGAACCCAAAGTGTAATGTTCTTGGTACAGTAGTACCTCGGGTTAAGTACTTAATTCGTTCCGGAGGTCCGTTCTTAACCTGAAACTGTTCTTAACCTGAAGCACCACTTTAGCTAATGGGGCCTCCTACTGCTGCTGCGCCGCCGGAGCCCGATTTCTGTTCTTATCGTGAAACAAAGTTCTTAACCTGAAGCACTATTTCTGGGTTAGTGGAGTGTGTAACCTGAAGCGTATGTAACCTGAAGCGTATGTAACCCCAGGTACCACTGTATAAGCTTCCGTGTGCATGCACACTTCTTCAGGTATCTGAAGAAGTGTGCATGCACATGAAAGCTTATACCAAGAACAAACTTAGTTGGTCTCTAAGGTGCTACTGGACAATTTTTTTATTTTTATATATATTTCGACTGCGTCAGACCAACACTGCTACCTACCTGAATCTAGAACCTAAGTGTAATGGTAATTTTGACATATAGGACCACACCATTACAGCCACCGCCCAGGAGAATTCAGAAATACGTTACATATTTTACACACATCACTGCCAACAGTATATAGGATAATGCCCAAGGTATTGGGATCATCTAACCGTTATAGAAAAGTGAGCTGCCACAGGGTGGTGTAGAGCAGGGATCTTCAGCCTTTGCAGTCCCAGGAACCACATTTAGAGCCATAGAATTTGAGATTTTGAAGGGACCACAAGGGTCATCTAGCCCAACCCTCTGCAATGCAGGAATATTTCTGCCCAAAGTGGGGCTCGAACCCGTGACCCTGAGATGGAGAGTCTCATGCTTAACCCAAACATGCATTTGGGAACCCATTTCTTAAATTTTACCATATAATTGCATGAAGGTAGTGCTCCTGTTCTGACCCACTTTGGATCAGGCTATGACCCATTGGTACTGCAGACAAGTACTGCAGAGGGTTTGCATGCAGGAACTTTGGCTAGGCTGTAGTAGCTGCTTCCCAGTAGTGATGTATGGAAGTGAGAGCCGGACCCTAAAGAAGGCTGATGGCCGAAGAATTGATGCTTTTGAATTATGATGCTGGAGGAGACTCTTGAGAGTCCCATGGACTGCAAGAAGATCAAACCTCTCCATTCTGAAGGAAATCAGCCCTGAGTGCTCACTGGAAGGACAGATCCTCAAGCTGAGGCTCCAATACTTTGGCCACCTCATGAGAAGACTCCCTGGAAAAGACCCTGATGCTGGGAAAGATGGAGGGCACAAGGAGAAGGGGACGGCAGAGGATGAGATGGTTGGACAGTGTTCTCGAAGCTACCAGCATGAGTTTGACCAAACTGCGGGAGGCAGTGAAAGACAGGAGTGCCTGGCGTGCTCTGGTCCATGGGGTCACGAAGAGCTGGACACGACTAAACGACTAAACAACAACAAAGTAGCTGCTAAGATGACCTGCATTTATACCACATGACTGCAATTCTATATATAGTTAAGTGACAGTAACTTTCCTTACGCTCAATAGGTCATACATTTAAACTCCTTGCACAAAGCAGAAACCTGTAAGAAAAGCCTGGTCTCTCCTTGACTGTTCTCCTCTGACTTTGTCTATGCTAAGCTAATACTGTCAAACAATAGTAAAACCTGAAAGCCGCCTCATCACCTTAGTCCCTTGCTGGAGCACAGAAGGGTGGGTTGGTTTGGTGGTTGTGTGCAAGCATCTCTAAAGCCTGCTTTTAAGTTTCCTAGAGGGAAGTGGATTGGAAAGCAGGAAATTTACAAAAAACAGAGTTGTTCCATTTCTCTGTTAAGGTGGTTGAGAAATGCAGGTGGGGGGGAGGAGTAAGAGTACAGCACTAGTGTGCTTGCAGGCCCTGCCTTTATCTATTTGGGTCCTTCTAGCATTAATCTTCCTCCCCTTTCTTGAAGCACTGCTACAGTGACAGGTCAACGTTATTGTAATGGAAAATGCAAGGGGTCCGCATGTGGGGAAAATGGGGTGGAGATAATCTATTTTGAAGTTCAATAATGCTGCCCATAAACATTTTTTTCTGCTTTAGAACATCAGGCATGGGGAAACTCAGCCCTCCAGATGTTCTGGGACTACAATTCCCATCATCCCTGACCACTGGTCCTGTTAGCTAGGGGTGATGGGAGTTGCAGTCCCAAAACATCTGGAGGGCTGAGTTTGCCCATGCCTGTATGGCATATGTCATACATTTGTCCCTGGATGAAACATGTATTGGTCAAATGTAGACATAACATGCTCAGGTGCACACATTTGCCAGCATCTACTTAAATCACAGCAAGCTTTGTTACGGAAATGTCAGGAACAATCCTCATTCCTGTACTAATTCTTAAAAGAAGAAGCAGGGAGTGCATAGATATAGTACAAAAAAGGCCATAGACCAGCCTTCACCAGCTGTGGACTCCTCAGATGTTCTGGACCGCAACTCACATCCTTGACCATTGAATATGTTAGCTGGGTTGATGGGATTTGGAGTCCCAACAACACTTAGAAGCCACAGGTTTCTCACTTGTAATTTATATCCACCCACTTTCTTTTCCCATTTTTTTGCGGGCAAAAAACCCCCCAAACACAAATGATTGTACTGATTTCCTATTTATTTGTAGAACAAGTGTGCTAGGTCTAAAACATGGGAGCCGGTTATTGCCAATCAGCTCTCACTGACACAGTGGTGCTGCCATGCGCCTCAGGTTCCTATTATGGTTCCAAATGGTTCTCAAAACATGCTGAAGAGGCGGTCGCTCGCTATCATGCTGTCAACAAATCTACAATAAACAAAGAAAACATTTTTCATTGCTGTTCCGTTGTCTCATGGGGTACTGTTTCAGCTGCCAGGACCTTATTTATCTATTGTTAAATTTACCGGTATATCCCTACCATTCCTCCCAAGGGAGCCCAGGGTGGCAAACAATTGACAAAGCTATAAAAACAAACATCTTTAAAGCCATTTCAAAATAGGTGCAGACTGGGAAAGACCTCAACTTTAAAAGGCTTGTTGAAAGAGGAAGGTCTTCAAAGCACACACAGTGGAATCTTAGGAACTGTATTTTGTTAAGGGTACTGGAAACTAGCTCTGTGGGGAGCAAACAGCAGTTCTTTGGGGAGAAAGGTTCAGTGTTTGAGAAGCACATCTTAGCACAGGGATGGGGGACCTTTTTCCAGCCAAGGGCCATATTCCTTATGGGGGGGGCAGTGGGCCAAATGAGTGGGTAAGAGGCAAAGCTGGCACAGCAACACATATGTCTCTTAACCTTTGTACAGTAGCCTATATTCCAGCCACACAAAGGTCAAAGGTTTCCACACACCCGCAGCCATTCCTCTATCTGCCCTCCAGGCAAGCAACAGCATGGATCTCTTAGACAGTACAAAGGGTGCTTGGATCCAGTTAAAGCAGCCACCCAGAATCTCCTCTCTACATCTGCCCAATGAAACCTAATGGGAGGAGGTGCAAGCTGTTGTGTCATGGCATTCAGAATTACACCTCCCCAAACACACACACACACACACACACACACACACACACACCCTCCACAAGCAGCAGTCAATGAAATGGTGCTGGGAATTATAGTTCTGTGGATTCTTTGGGTGAAGCTATGTGATAAAATGTAATTTGTATGGGATGGATTTGGCCATGATGTCTGCTGTACACACAGCAATTAAAGGATGAGAGTGAAATCCTCCATCCCTGGCTGGGTGAAGTGGTGGTTGGGCTGATTCCCTGCTTCCCATTGTATGCTCACTTGGTCATAGGGCTCCGTAGCTGGGGATGCCTTTGCACCCTTATCCAAGGGATGGCATCTTCTGGCTTGACTGACCGATTCTTAGGCAGCCACCAGCCAATCTCTTGTCCACAGGTCATTGGTTCCCTGTACTCTTCATTTGGGTCTAGAAAAAGAGACAGAGAGCTTGGGCTGTTAGATAGGAGAAACCAAAAGCTGTCTGGAGGTGTGGGAGAGAAGGATCTTGGCTTTGGGCTGGCCGTCAACACTTGCTAAAAATCCACTGACTTGAGCAGGAGCTTGAGCAACAATGGAGGCTTGAGAAGATAGCTAATAATCTGTGGGTTTAAATTACCACTGTACATAATGAGTTCAGAAGCTCAACGGTCATGCACCAGCCCTAAACAAAGATGGGATCTGCCATTTTTGACCTTTGGCCCCTTCCCTTCTAGAATTAGGGACGCGGGTGGCGCTGTGGGTAAAAGCCTCAGCGCCTAGGGCTTGCCGATCGAAAGGTCGGCAGTTCGAATCCCCACAGTGGGGTGCGCTCCCGTTGTTCGGTCCCAGCGCCTGCCAACCTAGCAGTTCGAAAGCACTCCAGGGTGCAAGTAGATAAATAGGGACCGCTTACTAGCGGAAAGGTAAACGGCGTTCTGTGTGCGGCTCTGGCTCGCCAGAGCAGCGATGTCACGCTGGCCACGTGACCCGGAAGTGTCTCCGGACAGCACTGCCCCCCGGCCTCTTGAGTGAGATGGGCGCACAACCCTAGAGTCTGTCAAGACTGGCCTGTACGGGCAGGGGTACCTTTACCTTTTACCTTCTAGAATTATCATATTTCCTCCTTGTCTTTTCCTCCCCTTCCGCAGAGAACCAATAACTACTGTGTCCTTAATGCTCCTGAACCTGATTGGTGGCCTGGTTTCAGCACTGCAGATCTAGATGTTGTTGGACTTTGAATTACATCCTCGACTATTGGTCTTGCTGGCTAGGAATGATTGGAGTTTGAGAGAAATAAAGTATTACCAGACGCAATATATGGAATTGATGAATCAAGAGATAGAATGGAAAATAAAGCAAATGAGACAAAGAACATTTGAATCGGCAGACAAATGTGGGAAACTTCTGTCATGGCAATTGAAAAAGAGACAAAAACTGAACACTGTGACAAGTTTGGAAATGGATGGAAAAATTATCCACAAACCAAATGAGATAGGCAATTGCTTTCAAAGTTTCTTTAGGAAACTATATGCACAAGGGCCAGTTGATGAGCAGGAAATAGAAGAATTTATTAAGAAGTATGGACTACCAAAGATCTCAGATCAAAGTAAAATGATTCTGAATGAGAAAATAACAGGACAAGAAATAGAGGGTGCCATTCAGAATATGCAGTTGGGAAAATCTCCAGGACCAGATGGCTTAACGGCTAGATACTACAAGGCATTGAAGGAATGGATAATACAACCATTGAAGGAGGTCTGTAATGAAATTTTGGAAGGGAAAAAGGCACATGAATCGTGGAAAGAAGCTTTTATTTCACTTATACCGAAAACAGAGACTGAAAAGAACCAGGTCAAAAACTACCGCCCTATATCATTACTTAATGTGGATTATAAAATCTTTGCAGACATTTTAGCAAAAAGACTGAAGAGAGTGCTGATAGGGGAGATTCACAAGGACCAAACAGGCTTTCTTCCAGGGAGACATATGTCGGACAATGTGAGGAACATTATAGACATTTTGGAACTGTTGGAAGTGAACATTAATAGAAAGGCGGTCTTGATTTTTGTGGATGCGGAGAAAGCCTTTGATAATATTTGTTGGACCTTTATGAAGAAGAATCTCCAAGGGATGGGGGTAGGCCAAGGTTTTGAAAACGGTATAGGTGCTATATATTCTAAGCAAAAAGCAAAGTTGATTGTGAACAATGTGGTTACGGAAGAAATACCTATAGAAAAAGGCACACGACAGGGGTGCCCAATATCCCCTTTACTTTTTATAACAGTCCTGGAGGTCTTGTTAAACATGATTAGAGGGGACCAATTGGTTAAAGGGGTTCAGGTCGGAGCCAGAAATTACAAACTAAGGGCATTCGCAGATGACCTAGTATTGACTTTGCAACAGCCAGATACTAGTACCAAAAGAGTATTAGAACTAATTGAGATATTTGGTCAAGTAGCAGGATTTAAACTGAACAAGCAAAAAACTAAAGTGTTGGAGAAAAATCTAACAATGGCAGAAAAAGAGAAGTTTCAGAGTGAAACAGGTTTAGTAATAACAAAAAAGGTGAAGTACCTGGGTGTGAATCTGACTTCTAAAAATGTGAATTTATTTAAAGACAACTATGACAAATGCTGGACAGAGGTGAAGAAAGATCTAGAAATATGGTCAAGGTTGAGACTTTCCTTGTTAGGCCGAATTGCTGTCATCAAGATGAATGTATTGCCTAGAATGTTGTTTTTATTCCAGACACTCCAGATCCTGGACAAAATGGACTGTTTCAAGAGGTGGCAAAAAGACATATCAAAATTTGTCTGGCAGGGCAAAAAGCCCAGAATAAACTTTAAGATCTTAACTGATGCAAAAGACAGAGGGGGGTTTGCCCTGCCGGACCTGAGACTTTATTATGAATCGGCAGCGTTCTGCTGGCTGAAACAATGGCTGCTTCTTGAGAACACAGACATTTTGGATCTGGAAGGGTATGACAATAGATTTGGTTGGCATGCATATATATGGTATGACAAGGTAAAAATACATAAAGGTTTTAAAAACCATATTGTCAGGAAAGCACTATACAATGTTTGGATAAGATATAAAGATCTACTGGAAAGTAAAACTCCCAGGTGGCTATCACCAATGGAAGCTAAAGAGACAAAAAAACTTAATATGGAGTCCAAATGGCCAAAATATTGTGAAATCTTAGAGCAAGATGGTGAAAGGGTCAAATTACAGAGTTATGACAAATTAAAGTCTAAAGTACGAGATTGGTTGCACTACCTTCAGATAAACGAGGTATTCAAACAGGACAGGAAAATAGGTTTTCAGATGGAGAGGTCGAAATTAGAAACAGAATTGTTAGAACCCAATACTAAGAACTTGTCAAGAATGTATAATTTGCTGCTGAAATGGAATACACAAGATGAAACAGTAAAATCAGCTATGATCAAATGGGCACAAGACATAGGTCATGACATTATGTTTGATGACTGGGAAAGGTTATGGAATACTGGTGTTAGATTTACGGCTTGTAATGCTTTGAGAGAAAACATAATGAAAATGATCTATAGGTGGTATATGACCCCAGTCAAACTTGCAAAAATTTACCATTTGCCCAATAATAAATGTTGGAAATGTAATGAGACTGAAGGTACTTTCTATCACCTTTGGTGGACCTGCCCGAAGATTAAAGCCTACTGGGAAATGATCTATAATGAAATTAAAAAGGTCCTTAAATGGACATTTTTTTAAAAACCAGAGGCTTTTCTCCTGGGCATGGTGGGCCAATTGGTGCCAAGGAAGGACAGAACTTTTTTCATGTATGCTACCACAGCAGCAAGAATTCTTCTGGCAAAGTATTGGAAGACGCAGCAGCTACCCACTCTGGAAGAATGGCAAGCGAAGGTGATCGACTACATGGGAATGGCAGAGATGACCGGCAGAATCCGTGACCAGGGGAGTGAGACAGTGGAAGAAGATTGGAAAAAATTTAAAATATACCTTAAAAATTGTTGTAACATTGAGGAGTGTTGAGATGCTATGGTGTTAAGAAACAGAGAATTGCAGCTGTAAATCATAAATTGAAGGGAATTATAATGAAGATGAGTTAATTAATTAAATGGAGGGTTGCTGTTAAAAGGGAAAAATAAGGATGCAGAAAAAGGGAGGTATGGGGAAGTCCGGGAAATAAGGTGAAGGAAAATGAGTTTATGAAATTATACATGTTTATTTGTTTGTATGTTTTGTTTTGTTTTATTGTTTGTTTTTATTACATGTTTGGAAAATTAATAAAAATTATTTTTTTTAAAAAAAGGAATGATTGGAGTTATAAGTCCAATAACATCTGGAGGGCCACAGCTTCCCCATCGCTAGATCAGCACAAAATGTGCTCACAGAGAAGCAGGCAAGAGAAGCTGGAAAGCCAAGCTCCAATGACAGCTGACACAGGCACTTAGGAGACAAGTGGCTTCCCAAGATGCCGTGAGCCTTTTAGGAGGCAGTGGGAGGTGACTGGTTCCTCATTATCAGTTGTCTAGAGGTACTAGCCTGCTGTCGAAGAGGAGGAGGAGGAGAAGGAAAGAAATCAGAGAAAGAGATCAAAACCCCAGGTACACAAGAAAAATTGCTTTTGATTATTAAACCCAACACATTTCAAATTACTGTTCTTTCTCAGGAGCACTCTTGAACATCACATTTCCACCTGGTTGTATACACAGTATTGCAAATTGGTTTGCATGTTCCCTAAAAATTTGTGACAACAAACTTCCTTTTTATGTGGAGGTAGCGCACCTGCCTGGAGCCCAACATCGTAAGAATAAGTAGAGCTCTGCTGGATCAGGCCAAAGGACCAGCTAGTCCAACGTCCTGTCCTCAGACTGGCCAACCAGATATGTACAGGAAATCCTGCAAGGACATAACATCAGCATCCTCTTCAAAGAACCCAGGGGCCTTCAATCCTCTTCCTTCCTCCAAACCTGCCTCCAGAACTCTCTTAGATTTGCATGCATGCACACACACAGCTCTTGCCAACCCAGAGGTCATTGCTTCTAGTCCTGGTCCCAGTGCTCTGACTCGTGAGTATGGATGTCCCTCTACAAAATCCTAAAGGCTCCTTGTGCTTTTGCTGAAACCACCATTTAAACCCTGCCTCTGGTAACTATTTACCTACATTTTTTGAGCTTCATCTTTTTGATAGCCTCTCGATACTTCCTGCAGCTTCCCCTGTGTACTGTGCCATCATATCCACTTGGTCCTATTGGTGGCAGCTTTGGGTAGAAAAGTTCCAGTTTAGGGGTTGGTGTTCCCACTGAAGAAGAAGAAAGAAAACTAATGCAATTCTGGAATATAGCCAAATGGAAAGCAAATGGAACAAGAGGATTAGGGGAATAGAGTTCCCAAAATTATTTGGGCGAAGCCAAGACTGTTTAAAGTGGTGTGATGCTGCTTGAAATGTGTTGAGCAGATGGGGCCTCAGTCAAGTAAAGAAGTAATGAAATAAGGGACAAAAATGGTCATGTTGGAGACAGGAGAATTTCCTCATGTCCAGGGAATTAAGTCCAATCTAGATCCCAGATGTACCACTTCAGATTGCAGCTGGAAGACAACATGGATGAAAAGTATCTCACTAATATACAGTCTCTAGGCATAAAACTAGCACACTGAGGGAGAAAGGCTTAAACCATTCTCTCTGATGTGGACCAGTGCATGATTCTCTCCTTTGAAAGACTGTGGGATGGCCATCAACCCTTCAATTTCAGAAGGGGATTGAATAGACAAAACCAGGAACCTCCTGTACAGCAGGGGTGATGTGTGTGAACAGCACACAAAGAGCTTATCTATGCAACTGCTCTGTATCAGTTTCTACCATCTTCAATCATGGTTTCCCTGCAAGAATCCTGGCAACAGTAGTTTAGTGACAGTGGTGGGAATTCCATTAAAGATCCACAGCCTTCCTCAGAGCACTGCCATTCCCAGGGTTCCAAGATGAAGGAATGACAGTTAAGACTTTTGTGCGCAGGTGCACAATCACCACTGGTGAATCCCAGGAAGAGCTTTGCTTTTCAATGAAGTGTTCTTGGATAGTTTCCTTACCTGGCACTTCATACTTTGGTAATTCTAGTTTTCTGTCCCGAAAGGGGTCTTGATATCCCATAAAAGTTAATCCAAAGAAAGACATTTCCTGCACCTAATTTGCTGTAGGTTCAACTGACTCCACAACTTCCCAACTGCAGCCTTCTGCCTTCAGCCTTCTAAAGCATGTTTGCTATGTTACCATGGAGATGCGCAGCTCGGCCCTGTCTCTTGGGAGTTTCTTAAGGCTTAAGCAATGAAAACTTGAGTGTGTGAAAGGGCAACTGTGATACCTTGAGAAAAATGTACTGAGGTTTGGTTTGAGGAGGTATCTAGAAAGGAAAGGGGGAGAAGTGACCCTTAACCTTGTGTTTTTTCCAGCTTTATGACTTCATTAACTTGTATTTATTTGCATGTGATTGCCAGTGATGAAATATGTATTTAACCAGATGGCTGTATTTTCTCCTCTAGGGAGATCCGGCGCTCACAGCAGCTTTTAGTGTTGTCTCTTGTAGATGTGAGCCAAACAGCCTTCTTGAAACGCCAGCCATGAAGAGTGGTTCACTCAGTGGAGTGTTCTGAGTAAAGATACCAGTACATAAGTGTGTGCCATGTGTCAGCCTTGTTTCCGACTCTAATAGGCAAATATTTGGCACCTCCAAAACTCGGGCATGATCATCCCACTGAGGTGTTTCTTACCTCATCTTTATACTCTTTTAGGAGGAAGGTGAAGAAACTACCTCTTTTGCTAAGCTTTTGTACTGAAGAGGTGCAGTCTGTCTGAAGTTAGTTTTATAATCTACTCTCAGCTATTTTATTTTAGTTTGTTGTGTTTATTTAGTATTTCCAGTCTAACCAGCATTTTATTGGTGTAATACATTGTCACGACAATGCTCTCCTGCACTGCAATTCTAACAAGTAGAACATTCAGACAGCAGAACAATTAAAAATAAGTTTATATACAGATATTTTTATTCATTCAGTTTATGAATCCGCATAAAACACACAGAAGCAATTTAACAATAAAAAACATCAACAAATGCATATTTAAAAGCAATTTCCAATGCAGTACAGACTGGAATAAAAAAAAAATCCACTTAAAGGGAAAGGTAAATGACCCCTGGACGGTAACCGGTAAGTCCAGTCAAAGGCAACTACAGGGTTGCAGTGCTCATCTCGCTTTCAGGCCGAGGGAGCCAGCGTTTGTCCACAGACAGCTTTCCAGGTCATGTGGCCAGCATGACTAAACCTCTTCTGGCTCAATGGAATACCATGACGGAAACCAGAGCACACGAAAACACTGTTTACTTTCCTGCCCACAGCGGTACCTATTGATCTACTTGCACTGGCGTACTTTTGAACTGCTAGGTTGGCAGGAGCTGGGACAGAGCAACAGGAGCTGATCTGCAAACCCAAGAGGTTCAGTGGTTTAGACCACAACACCACCCTATTCACTTAAAAAACTTGTTAGAAAGGAAAAGCCTATTAAAGGTGTAGAATACAGACAGCACCTGTTATTTAACCCAAGTTCCAAATGGCAGATGTCTTCACACTAAAGGTCCAATTCTGACATTGTGTAGACCAAACCTCCCGACTGGGCGATGATGTGCTGGATGCTGTTGTAAACAAAAATTGCCCTTTTCCCTTATGGGGTATCCAACAGCTCATATAGAGTCCTTACATAGGTTCCCTATTGGTAGGAGAAGATAACAGAGGCCAACCAGAGAATATTGAGAAGCAAAGCAGCCAGTAAGCTTGATCTTTATTGAACTGTTGCAACAGGGTGCTCCCCTCACCCGCAGGAGAGGAGGAGGAACCCAGAAAAATGGCGCGCAAGGCCTTATAGAGACTTTTGAAATTGCCACCCTGTAAATCAATACCACCCCCAGAAACATCATACATACATCACAGAAAAGGCGGTCTTAAAACAGAAATTTTAATGTTTTTCTCCTGTCGTTGTTTATCTCCTGTCTGGCAGGTTACTTGATTGGATTGCCTGGCCAGTCTTTTGTAATGATAAATACTTAGTTCCTGGGCCAGGTCACAGGCTCACACCCTATTCATATCTTAAATGTGCCCTTAAGACAGGATTTGTGAGGAAAGAGACAATGGAAGGTTTCCCACTTTGACCTTGCAGAGAAAACATTTGCTCAGTTTAGGAATCAAAATGGTTCCAGGTCGGTCTTCCTGTGCTGATCTATGTACATGCTTGGTTGGTACACTTATGAACATTACCATATATCTAAGACCATAAAATTCCTATCACAATGCCCTCTCCTGCAGCATGCAGTGACCAGTTTGGTGTTGTGATAGGAATTTTGAGGTCTTAGATATACCGTATTTTTTGTCCCATAGGACGCTCCGTCCCATAGGGCGCACCTAGTTTTTTGGGGGGGAAATAAAGGAAAAATTTTTTTCCTTTATTTCCCCCCCAAAAGCAGGTCGGGGAAACCGAACCAGGTCGAGGAACAGCTGTCCCCCGAGCTTGTGGGGCTGGCCGATGTCTGCCCAGCGCGAGGGGTGGTCTGCTTCAGGGCGCCCCTCGCACTGGGCGGCAGGCTGCTATCCGCAGCATGGGGAGCCCTGCGGGGAACTCCTGCAAGGCTCCCCACGCTGCGGATGTCTGCCTGGCGCGAGGGGCGCTCTGCTTCAGGGCGCCCCTCGCACTGGGCGGCAGGCTGCTATCCGCAGCGTGGGGAGCCCTGCGGGGAACTCCTGCAAGGCTTCCCATGCTGCGGATGTCTGCCTGGCGCGAGGTGCGCTCTGCTTCAGGGCGCCCCTCGCACTGGGCGGCAGGCTGCTATCCGCAGCGTGGGGAGCCCTGCGGGGAACTCCTGCAGGGCTCCCCACGCTGCGGATGTCCGGACCTCCCGCAGGGCTGCCTAGGCTGCGGATGTGTTCCCGAAGCGCCGGGCACTCTGCTTTCAGGGCGCCCGACGCTCCGGGAAGCAGGCTGCTATCCGCAGCCTAGACAGCCCTGTGGGACCTCCCACAGGGCTGCCTAGGCTGCGGATGTCTTCCTGAAGCCTGGAGGGCGAGAGGGGTCGGTGCGCACCGACCCCTCTCGCTCTCCAAGCTTCAGCAAAAGCCTGCATTCGCCCCATAAGACGCACCCAGATTTCCCCTTCATTTTTGGAGGGGAAAAAGTGCGTCCTATAGGGCGAAAAATACGGTATGTTAAATGTTCATAAGTGTACCAACTAAGCACATACATAAATCAGCACAGGAAGACCGACCTGAAACCATTTTTGATTCCCAAACTGACCTCAATTATTTCTCTGCAAGGTCAAAAGAAAATGGAAAAGCCTCCCCACTGTCTTTTCCTTCACAAATCCTGTCTTAAGGGCCCATTTAAGATATGAATAGGGTGTGAGCCCGACCTGGCTCAGGAACTAAGTATTTATCATTACAAAAGACTGGCCAGGCTCCCCAGGCAATCCAATCAAGTGACCATTAAACAGGTAACCTGGCAGACAGGAGGTAAACAAAGCACTCAGATTTCTTCTGTTGAGCACCCTTTCTGTGATGTAGGTATGATGTATGGGGGGGTCTTGAGCTACACCCCTTCTGTGATATATGTAAGATGTTTCTGGGGGTGGTCTTGATCTACAGGGTGGCAATTTCAAAAATCTATATAAGGGCTTGCACACCATTGCTCTGGGTTCCTCCTCCCTCCTACGTGTTGCAACAGATCAATAAAGATCAAGTTTACTAGCTGGTTTGCTTCTCAATATTCTCTGGTTGGCCTCTGTTATTTTCCCCTACCAATAGGGAACCTATGCAAGGACTCTATATGGGCTCTTGGATACCCCATAAGGGAAAAGGGCAGATTTTGGTTTACAACAGTGTGTATAAGAGAGGAGATGAAGTTTAGCTGTTCTGGTCCCAAACTGTACAGAGCTTTATTCACCAGCACCTTGGATTTAGCCCAGGAAGTAGCTGGCAGTCGGTGTAATTCCTTCAGCAGTGACATTAATATTGTTGTGCATTACCCCAATCGGTGCCAGATTCCAGGGCTTCCAGGTGCTTACCTACGGTTTGATGTCCTTGGGATGAGGGGCAGTACAGACTACGAGGTCTTTAGGATTGTAGCAGGAACCCCCCACCCCAATCATTCTGTTTGCACAAACTTCACACACACTCCCACTCACACACTGCATACGCCACATTTCTGTTGTAAATTCATAGAAAATCAACCATACATCGGATTTGCACTGTTCCATTTTTATTTTACTCCATATGAAATGGACTATCAAAGGGGGGCTTGGTTCTGGTCAGCCATAATCCCTTCACCATCCCAGCACATCCACAGGAGCCCTGCCCAGTTGCTATGTCAACCCTGATAATCCCAGACAGAAGACAATCAAAATCACAAAGAACCTGCATATGGTAGTGGATTCAGCATGGACTGAAACAAAGGACAATAATCAGATATTCCCTCTGGGGGCAGGAAACTGCAAACTCCCCTTTGTCTCCTGGAAGTGACTCATGGGCAGGGGGAAAGGAGGAACCAGCCAGGTGACACTCAGGTTACCACCACAACTCCTCCCTCAACCCCTCCTTTCTGTAATGTATGCATGATGTCAACCCCTTCTGTAATGTAAGCATGATGTCAACCCCTCCTTTTTGTAATGTATGCATGATGTTTCTGGGGGTGGGCTTGACCTGGAGGATCGGAATTTCAAAAGTTTTTATAAGGTCTGGCACACCATTTTTCTGTGTCTTTCCTCTCTCCTGCAAGTGAGGGGAACACCCTGTTGCAACAGTTCAATAAAGGCCAAGCCTACAGGCTGCTGTTTTGCTCCAAGTTATCCTGGTTGGTGTCTTTGTTTTTGTCCAAGGGAGCCCTCAGATTTTTTTCCGTTAACAGGATATACAGTGGTACCTCGGGTTAAGTACTTAATTCGTTCCAGAGGTCTGTCCTTATCCTGAAACTGTTCTTAACCTTAACTTTAGCTAATGGGGCCTCCTACTGCTGCCATGCCGCCGGAGCACGATTTCTGTTCTTATCCTGAAGCAAAGTTCTTAATCTGAAGCACTATTTTTGGGTTAGCGGAGTGTGTAACCTGAAGCGTATGTAACCTGAAGCGTATGTAACCCGAGGTACCACTGTAGGTCTTATTTACAACCTGAGCCTACGTTGGAGGGGCTCACAGCATTAACACCCCAAGAGGATCTTCTCCCATAGCCACAGGC